ACATACATACAGACATACAGACACCACCGCGGGGGTAGTCAGGGAAGCTTCCTATATGACCTTAAAACGTCGAGATCTGATGAAAACTCGATTTTTGCAAAACGGGGTGAAAACAATAACTTCCCAATTTTTGAAAATCTGAAATTTTTAGCGGGAAGTTAAAAATTTTTCTAAATGTGGTTTCTTTTGGAATAACTTTTAAACGGCTTTACCGATCGATTCCTAAAACTAATCAGCTCTTAACATAAAAAAACCTCGTTGATCACCGCTGGGCTGGTGAAAATCGGTTGATTCGTTTGTGTGTTATCGTTGTCGAAAAAATTCGGCAACAGTAAATTTTTTTAATTTCTTCAAAATTTTCGGTCGGATCAATTTGTGTTTCAAAGTAAATCTTAGGATTCGAAAAACTGCGTCGAATGCTGCCAACCGCGTGAAAATCAGTTTATTCATTCAAAATTAATTTCAGTTTGAAAATTTAAAGATGGGTGTTTTATTAAACTTCTATCAGAGCTTCTCGAAGAGCTCAAAAGTATAGAACAGCTAACTCCTTAAGCTCGGAGAGCTCAAAATAACACATAAATTATATTTTCGAGATCGAAGAGATCAAAAACGTCATAAGTGCAATTTTAAGCGCTAAGGTATGGAATTAACGGGAAGTTTCAGGAATGGCCTGTAGGCTCAACCGTTTTATTAATTCTTTCTTTCATTAACTTTTTGTTTTTCAACATTTAAAGTCTTATTGTTCAGTATGAAAAGCTACAATACTTTAAAAAATAGATTGTAGATTACGTAGAAATCTATCTATTGCCTTGGTCATCAAGTCAAAATTCGTTAAAAATTACATCATATTATTTCTTAATAACCGATCCCCTCTTTTTCTCGCGTCGCACTCACTGCAAGAAACGGTACTATCCTTGTCGCACTCATGATTATAATGCTATTGCAGTTTTATGTTTTTCTTTTAAACAAACGAGAATTTCGAAAAAAACACTCTGCTACGAAATAGATAATTTAAAAATCTATTATGTAGCAGAGCGTTTTTTTCAAAACTCTACACACACACACACACACACACACACACACACACACACACACACACACACACACACACATACATACAGACATACAGACACCACCGCGGGGGTAGTCAGGGAAGCTTCCTATATGACCTTAAAACGTCGAGATCTGATGAAAACTCGATTTTTGCAAAACGGGGTGAAAACAATAACTTCCCAATTTTTGAAAATCTGAAATTTTTAGCGGGAAGTTAAAAATTTTTCTAAATGTGGTTTCTTTTGGAATAACTTTTAAACGGCTTTACCGATCGATTCCTAAAACTAATCAGCTCTTAACATAAAAAAACCTCGTTGATCACCGCTGGGCTGGTGAAAATCGGTTGATTCGTTTGTGTGTTATCGTTGTCGAAAAAATTCGGCAACAGTAAATTTTTTTAATTTCTTCAAAATTTTCGGTCGGATCAATTTGTGTTTCAAAGTAAATCTTAGGATTCGAAAAACTGCGTCGAATGCTGCCAACCGCGTGAAAATCAGTTTATTCATTCAAAATTAATTTCAGTTTGAAAATTTAAAGATGGGTGTTTTATTAAACTTCTATCAGAGCTTCTCGAAGAGCTCAAAAGTATAGAACAGCTAACTCCTTAAGCTCGGAGAGCTCAAAATAACACATAAATTATATTTTCGAGATCGAAGAGATCAAAAACGTCATAAGTGCAATTTTAAGCGCTAAGGTATGGAATTAACGGGAAGTTTCAGGAATGGCCTGTAGGCTCAACCGTTTTATTAATTCTTTCTTTCATTAACTTTTTGTTTTTCAACATTTAAAGTCTTATTGTTCAGTATGAAAAGCTACAATACTTTAAAAAATAGATTGTAGATTACGTAGAAATCTATCTATTGCCTTGGTCATCAAGTCAAAATTCGTTAAAAATTACATCATATTATTTCTTAATAACCGATCCCCTCTTTTTCTCGCGTCGCACTCACTGCAAGAAACGGTACTATCCTTGTCGCACTCATGATTATAATGCTATTGCAGTTTTATGTTTTTCTTTTAAACAAACGAGAATTTCGAAAAAAACACTCTGCTACGAAATAGATAATTTAAAAATCTATTATGTAGCAGAGCGTTTTTTTCAAAACTCTTCTCTGTCTGGAGAGAAATGTAAAGCTGCAATCGTAGGGACCGGTTGTTAAAAAGTTAAGACAGACTTAAAAAAGCATTGGTTAAAAAATTTTTCTATAAATGTATAGTATGTTTAAAAATTATATTTAAAAATTTTCACTTCTGACTAGAAGGAAATATTTACATTTCGCGCCAAATTTTTTTAACTTTAAACAATTGAACTTGTTTACATCGCCTTTCTAAATACATGAATTATTACTACATTTCACTTTTTAGTTTACTTTGAAAATAAGTTTGTACAGTGTATACGTATAGTGTCTAAAAATGCCAATCGCCTTTTTTGATGGTCCTGTCAGTATGCCTGAATACGTTACACATTGTTAATGAAATATTATTTGTATTTTCCTGCATAGAGCGAATAGCTTACAACTATAATAAATTTTCTCTTCTTAAACTGAACTCAAGTACGCATGTCGTAGGAAACAAAAACAAATTTTCCTGATAAAAATCCATACCGCGGTTATGTCTTTTCAGGGTTGATTCATAAGACTTATTTCCTTCTATCTTTTTGTGGATTATTCATTACAAGTAATTCCTATTAGACCGAAGTAAAAATAATGTTGAGTATTTTCCTCTAGTATTTGACTGATGTATACATATACAATTATTCGGTACAAGTAATTTATAAAGGTTAAATTTAGGTCAGTTTTAAATTTGAAACACAGGAGTTTACTGGCACATTCTACTACTTTGTTTTAATTTTTGGACTTTGCAATTGTAATACCTTTAATAAAATTGTATATTATAAAATTTAAAGAACATATTTTGTACAACGTGTGATTTTTTGTTACATTAATTTTCCAAATAATTTGATCAATTTTTTTATCTATTCTTTCGCTATCAAAATACATACAAAAAGAAACGAACAAAACTCAACTCATAATTCGAAGAGGGCTTTGTTACATATGTGTTCAATATTCTTCGTGTGGGTGGATCCGTACATAAGTGAGAGATCATATATATATATATATATTATTTTTTTTGCTCAGTGGATTAAGGAAGATTTTAATGTCAGAGTAAAATTAAAATATCTGAGCGAAATAGTTATATGGAAATTCATGCATAAAGCTTATTAGGTACAATAAGTAATCTCTAAAAGTTCTGTGTGAAAAAAATAAAATATGGTGGAGAAACAAAT